CCCCAAAACCCCAAAACCCCAAAACCCCAAAACCCCAGAGTATAATTCCGTATTGAATTTATATAAAGATGTTTGGAATTCACAGCAATAAATTCTTGAGAGCTTCTAATTCAAGCTTTACTAGATCTTTAATTACAAGACCTTCTCATGGAATGGGATCTGCTGCGATTGGAAATGCCTTTAACGAAATTCCCAAATATGATATCACAAGATACAATCAAAAAACTGCACCTTTAATGCAATTTAGCAGACGCTTCTTTAACACCCATACTCCAGTCCCTGCTAGTAAAGGAATCAAGCCATGGAACATTCATTACATCACAACACCAATGACTTTTAGACATGGGAAGACATTACTTTATAACCACAAGTTTAACGTAGTTCTTGAAGTTAGAAATGGTCTTAAAAGATTTGGAGGTTTTGCCTTCTTTGCTTACCTAGCTTACCAGTAAGGATCACTGTTTAACTTTTAGAATGATGTTCTGATCCTATAATATCATAATCAAGTCGCTATTAACTCCGATCTTATTATATTCAAGTTATTGGAACATGGGACGTAAGACATTTTGCTCATATATTAGCATTGTTTGTAAGCCTCTGAAGAGCGTATATCTCTGTTAAAGTAATCTTTATGGATGAAGACGGAGAGCATATTTACATTACAACTCAATTAGGAGTGAGGAAGTAAGCAATGCCTAAGTCTTTAGATTCCCTATTTCAGGAATCAAACCAATCAAGAAATTTAGAGCTTATCGCAAGTAAGTGCTAATTATTTACTTCAGAGCTATTAGATGGGCCGATGAAGTCAAGAAGAGAGTTGTACCGATTGAAGCAACAAGTAAGTCTGACTATGGTTTCAGTGCCTCAGCTATTTAGCCAAGGATGGGAAATCTTTTGTCTATTATCTGGATAAAGAAGGTACTTATTACAACATGGAAGTGATGAAAGCTATCTTGGCTAACACAGGGGTCGAGAATGTCAAGTACTGGAATCCAGAGACAGGAAATTATGAGTATCCTAACATTTCGGAAGGAGAATTTAAAGGAATTGCTAAAATCGCTACACTTCCTTATACTGACACTGTTGCTCAAGAACTTTAATAATATGTGAGGCTGAAAAATTTATTTCAATTTAGATCGCTATCTATGGGGTTTTGGGGTTTTGGGGTTTTGGGGTTTTGGGG